TCTTTTACTCAGCAGAAGTTGCTGCTGAAGTTCGATAATTTGAAATAATATAAAATATGGTGTGGGAGACTGAAAAAAGTAAAAAAGATAACAAAAAATCCTGTATTTGTCTTGTGAATATGATTTTTGCTTGTACAACACTGCTGTTATTGGAAAGAACAATGAATTGTATACACTATGTATGCTCCTAGATCAGGAGTAGGCAACCTTGGCTCTTTTATGACTCGTGGACTTCAACTCTCAGAATTCCTGAGCCAACTATGCTGGCTCAGGAATTCTGGGAATTGAAGTCCACGAGTCATAAAAGAGCAAGGTTGCCTACCCCTGTCCTAGACCAATGTAAAATGTGACATTAAACTCATTAAATTCTGCTTCGCAGAGGAAATATAAAGCATCCTTTTCTGATTTTGAACTATGCTTACATTAAATGGAAGGTTGAACATTCATGCATGAACTAAAAGTATTGAATATATCATAATTCTAAACCATGATTTAATCCTGACTTGCTTGAATTTATAATTTAAGCTATGTTTCATTGTAATGGGAAATTGTTTAATTCAAAATCAGAAACAAAAATGTTTAGTCTCTACTAAGAGGAGGAAGCATGCAAAAGTTAAACTAAAGTTAAATCTAAATTGGCTATCTTCTGAAGCCGAAATAGTTAAAATACTATCACAGTCTTAGGTGAGTATATTAGAGCAAAGATCCCCAACCACGGACCGGAGAGTGTGTGGTTTTGTGTGCTGCCTGGATCCCACAGATGGGGCTTTGCTTGTTTGCATGCTGCAGCCCAGTACCGGTCCACGGACCAGGGATTGGTAACCTCTGTATTAGAGGGATTACTTAAATAGGGGTTTTTTTTTCATAATTTTGAAACATCTAACCAGTGGACATCTGAATGCCTGGCCACAGGATGAATTTATTTGCCACTATATAAATGATTACCATTCATTTCACAAAACATCGGTGCAATGAATAATTTTGATAAATCTTTTCACATTAATTTTATTAATAATTATTTCTTCGGTTCTATATTGGGTCATAAAATACATTTCTGTCAGAAAATTGTTAAAATTTGCTGTCAACATTTGCAGACACCAAGGTTTACTTCCTTATTTATATTCACCCTAGTGAACAGCAAAGGATTACACATGAGTACTCTACATGTCATGTTATGCATCCTGTTAGTACAGTTTACCAAATAAAAAGGGATTAATAGTGGCCTTAAGCGGGATTCAGAAGTTCTTGTATGTTTATAGGATGAAGAACTTGCTATGCAAGTGGAAATAAGATAAGCTAATGAGCCTGTTCTCTGAATATGTAGTTAAAATCTATAACAAAACTGAATATTATCCCTACTATGCAGGGCTTTTTTTCTTATAGAATGTCCAGAACGGAATTCCGGCACCTTTTTGGGATGGAACCTTGTAGGGTAGGCAAGGCAGGTTGTATGATGTGTGTGAGTTCTGGCACCTTTTTTTTCTATATATATATATATAGAAAAAAAGCACTGCTACTATGTATACTTATTAAACAGTTTGCTGTGTTTAAATTATTTGTTTCAGTGACTTTGTAAAAAAATATTTCTGTGCTTTTAGTCTGTGATCTTCAGGAATTTGATCATTTCTTTTGAGTAGGCACAGATAGTTCTCAACTTATGACTACAATTGGGATCAAAATTTTCATTACTAAGCATAGTAGTTGTTAAGTGAGTTGCACCCAACTTTATGATGTTTTTGCCACTTGTTAAGTGGATAACTGCAGTTCAATGAATCATGTGGTTGTTAAGTGGATCCCCTATTGACTTTGTCAGACTAACTGACAAATAATGGTCACATGATCGTGGGATGTTGGAACCCCGTACATGCCAATTCTAAGCATTGCATTTTAATCATGTGACTGTGGGAATGGTGCAATAGTTGTAAGTGTGAGGAGTGGTCATAAATCACTTTTTCACTGCCGCTGTAACTTTGAATGGTTGCTAAACAAATGGTCATAAGTCGAGGATTATATGTACATTTCTTATATCAGTTTGTTTTCTAATACAGTACTATGTTTGGCATAGTATGAAATGTTTCTGTAGAAGGTAGTACCAGCTGTGGTTGAAACAAGTTCTTAAGTTATTGGTTTTTAATTGCTTCTTTCAGCTCTTTAAGTCTTCATGCATAAAAAAACAATTGCACAGTGATTTCCCATACTTACAGTTGCTAACAACTAAGGACATCTCAAATTTTTGAACTATATAGTATACAAGCTTGGAAGTGTACAGTGTTTGTACATATAGATATATGTTTTTCTGGCAGGAATATCTGCTTACATTTTGGGAATATATATTTTTTGCGTTATAGTAATGTATATTCTAATATTTGTCTTTCTCTCAATCTATGATAAATGTTTTTTTTTAAAAAAAAAATAAAATGGCTTCATTTCCAAATGACCACTTATGTTTGCAAAGGAAATTACTTCAGTTTGCAAGTGGTCAGTAATTGACAAAAAGTGTCATAAATTGTCTGAGTGAATATTTTGAACAGTTAAGAATTATTATGGTCTTTGGGAAAGATTTAATGAATGCCTTATATTTATTTCACTTCTGTGATAGAATGTAGATTTTTCATTATAATTAAGCCTAATCTAGTAGTGGTATGTTTACAATTAAAGTATTCTTATTTCAGTAATTTAAGTTGCTGTTATCATATGATTTATAATATACATAGTTTGTGCAGGTGAACAACAGGATCAAGGCTAGTATAAAAGTAAATAGTTTTAATTTTCAGTTTAAAAATAGTATTATAAACACCACCAATATAAATTTAGGGTCTGACATTTATTTTCTTTCAAATGAATCATACAGAAGGATGCTTAACTACTCAAAGTGATCAAAAGATTGTCAGTGATAGACAACCAACTTAGTGTAATGAGTAAAGTAGATAATACAGCTAAATTTATCTAGCCTAACTTGTTAGTAATAATGAATTAATAAATACAGCTCAAGGTACAATTTCATTCTTAAGAAGACTGTACATACTTTGAATTCTGTGTGAGTTTGGCTGTGTGAATTGGCTGTGACCCTAATGTAATATTTTTCTTCCCCTTTGTATATCCATAAATCTTTTCTTGGTTGGAAGAAACCCTATAGATGTAATAGGTTAGGAATATTATATTGGTTGAAAGGAAGCATCTGATTCTTAGCTTTGATTCATTAAATAGCCTTATATAAGCTATACCATTTTAGAGTCAATCCAGAGCCACTTTGGTCTAGTGCAGGGGTGTCAAACTGCTGGCCCGCAGGCCGGATGCATAACGCGGAAGCTGCACCCTCCTCAGCTCCGACAAGGGGAAAAAAGTCATGATACATCGCAACATGTCACGTGACATGGCAAGTTTGACATCCCTGGTCTAGTGGTTGAGGTACCAAGGTAGAAAGCAAGAAGACCGTAAGTTCAAGTCTTGCTTAGCCATGAAAGCCATGGGCCAGTCAATCACTCCCTCATAGAGTTGTTGTTTGGGGAAAAATAGGAGAAGGAATGAGGACTAGATGTGTTTGCTGCCTTGAATTATTTGTAAAAATAATAAAGGTGGGATATAAACAAATAACAAAATAATATTTGTAATCTGGACAGTAATGACTACAGGCATTTGGTTTAGATTGTGATAAATGTAGAAAAAGGACTAGGCTTGTGATGCCGCAATGAAGTACTGCTTTTTTCTGTATGACCCCTTTCTGCTGTAATTCTGAGGAGTTAATTATAAATTTAAGCATTTTACTGAAGACAATATTTGAGTTCATGGATAGTACTAACGCATAGTGTGGTTTTTATGGTTACCGCTTTGTATTTATTTATTTATTAAATTTATTGGCTGCCCATCTTATCACAGAGTAACCTATACATCTGACAATATTAAATATTTTGTGAAGTTAGACATTATAGTTTATAAACCATGATGTATTAAAGCAGACAACTATGCATTATTCAGTGAATGGTGGTAAGTAAACAATAATTTAGCATGATAGGTTACCCCAGTTTTGTATGTCACTTTTTTGAAGCATTTTGAGTATTTGAAAGTTCTATACAATAGTTCATTGAGTTGAAGAGAAGTCAAACATATGGCTTTCAACTCAATATAACTGAGTTCTGAAAGAGAAAAGACTGTTTTCAAATTTGTGGTAGATTATCTCTCTGTGTGATACTGACTGCATGATACTGATTGGCCAAATGTATTTATTTATTTAGAAAACTTATGCCCTTCTATTTTATACATGATAACCCTAGGCAGCTCACAACAACATTCATAAAATCTGAATAAATAAAACCTCACAAAACCTCACAAAAGCATCACAGATCCCATTACACTGCTATAGTATCCAATTAATTCCATGTTTACATTTGCATTTGCTAGGCTAACTTCCACCTTAGCATAATACCTGGGTGAAGATCTAGGTCTTCATATTTCTCCCAAAAGCTAATAGGTTGGGGGACTCTCTGAATTTTAAGGGAAACTATTCCAAAGTAGTCTGACTGGTCACAAAAGAGACACAATTCTAAATACTATCACAAATGATGATATTTAGGGAAACAAACTTGTAATATCACTAAGACATCTTTTTGACATTTTAAACAGTAAGACAATAAATATATGGATAACCTAGAGATTTTTTTTTAATGGGACTTATAGTTAAATTGCCCAAAACAAAGAAGATGGTATCCCCAAAGGTCTAATTATTACTAGAACAAGAGAATGAACTTATTTATTAAAAAAATATTTTGTCACAAGTATATTAAACATTCCCTCCCTCTCTCTCACACACGTGTGTGTGTTTGTATTCATGTGTGCACTTTTTAAATATACCATCAATTTCCAGACTTATCATGATATAATACAATGTATGCATAATAAATGATATACTAGTTTTGATTATTTCATACGTGTACTAATTTGATGGAATAAGCTATTTTTTTCCTGTCACAGTCTTGTATTTACTAATATAAATTATGTTTCAGGAAGGTCTGGATGATTCTCAAGAGGCTGGAGTCTCTGAAGTATCAGAGGTGATTCGTTATGAATATCATGTTCTATATTCCTGCAGTTATCAAGCTCCTGTTCTCTATTTTAGGGCAAGTTTTTTAGGTAAGTGCCTTCTATATCAAGCAAATATTTAAAAGATACATAATGATATAAATTTTGAACTTAACAGACAATAAAATAAAAAATGAGTAAGTGGTTTATGATTCATTTCAGATACATATGTCAGTATCGGCAAGTATCAGTATCTTAAGGGTAGATGATATCATCTCTGCCTGAAGAAACTTGATCTTTAGAATTCTGGCAGCAAGCCTAACTGTGATCATTTCCTTTACTTACCTTTTTTAATGTTAAAAATATTGGGTGATCCTCATAAATGGAATTTTTGATCTTGAGAGTTATTGAGGTCACTGTTAGGGGCTTTTAGAAAAAGTCACAAAGTTTTAATGATGAAAACTAATGAGGTTTCAGCTGTTTTGTACATAATTTTTAAAACGATTTCCAAGGGTTGGTTATATATGTTGTTTTTATGTATATAATTTCTTAGGTTTTTTTACATTGCTTAGAAAGGTAGAGAACTCAATCTTGAAGACCATTGTTAATTATCTTTAATCAACAGATTAGAGTAGCTTTTCCCAACTATAGTGCTGTCCAGATGTATAGACTTCAATTCTCAAAATTTCCCAGACAATCTGAAGAACTAGTTTGGAATATTGGTTAAGGTGTTGACTGAAAAACCAGGTGACTCTGAGTTCTAGGCCTGCCTTGGACATAAAAACCACATGGATAACTGAGTTAGTCTCTCTAGCCCAACCGACTACTCAGAGTTATTGTTCTAGGGAAAATAGGAGACAAAATATTATTTTGTTAGTACCTCTGCCTTGAGGTACTAATAAAAATATAAACTGAAGCACCACTTGAACACCATCAGCACTGGCAAATTCATCATCAGACAATTGCAACAGGCAAGTTTATGTCAAACAGCTGATATCCTATGATGATACCTCTAATATCATCATACATCAATATCTGCCTATTTCAGGTCTTTGGGAAAGACTTGATAGGTGGATACAAATTGCTAGTCCAGTCTGATCATTCTAGCTGACTGCGTAATGAACAATAATAATATGGATAGATAAAAATGCCAAATCCAGTCTAAACATGACAATGAAAGATCTAACAAAAGGAAACCAGGCAACTATAGGCTAATTACCAGCTTATCAACAACTGCCAAATTGCTAACTGGTGTGGTAGCTAATGTAGTCCAACAACTAGTTAAAAACAAGCTTGTTCCACCAGAGCAGAAAGGGTACTGCCCAAACAGTAGAGGACAATAGGTCAGCTCCTAATTGACAAGATGATTTTGGAAAATCGCAATATCTTTAATATTATTAAACAACTGCCTATCCCTAAACATTTGGGTGACCATGCAACTAACAATAATAATAAGGAATACCAGGAGTTGAATATCTTTGGGAAATCCAAATTAGGACTTGAATGATTGTAGTACTCTCTTGTCTGTGCTCTACAATTTTCCATCCAAAGAGTTGTTCCTGGGATTAGGGAGTTTGAAATCCTGAAATAATTTCTAACTTTAGTTTCCCATATAGCAGTATCATTAGCTTTTCTGTGTGGAATTATCTTGCTTTATCTAGATTAACACATCTGAATGTTACTAGTGATATCATTTTCTTTTTAATTAAAAAGTAGCTTAAGATGCACTGAATGTGCTTGCTAGATATAATCACTTGCTGCCTTATATTGTTTAATGGCTTTTAATTTTGCCATGTTAGCATTTTAACTAGCAAAATTGGAAGAGGAAATTTTTAAACGAATCTGGTAAAAGGGTTTTTAATCTCAGGTTCATATTTTTGCACATGATAATTTAGGGTATATTTGCAATTTAGGATGTAAGAAATGAGATGCATATCTCAAGTTGTATTGTTTGTAATAGTTTGCTAACTTACTGTGAGATTATATCCTTGTAATTATTATAAACCTTTGACAAAGTAGCAACACACTGTTGAAATCTATTTGCATGTGGGCAAGTAATGAAACGCTTGCTGCTTAAAAATATAAAGTAAGAGACCGATTAATTTAGCATGTGAAAATATGTCAGGTTTGTATTCACTGGAACAACAGTACTGTATTCCCTTTGGGTGAAAGTGGAGGGTGGAATGGAAATGCTGCTGTGGTTGCAGGTACTGTATAAGGCAAGTTTCATCCCTACCCCCATTTTTTAAAAGTATGCTATTTTCACATAATTAGTATTCACTATATAAGCAGTTAATCACCAGAGAAGAGCTCCCAGAGACAAAACAAGTTGTTTAGCTTGTCAGCATTAGGGAATCAGATGTGTTGAAACATGATTCCTTATAGCTGGAGTGGATATTACAGAAGCTGATAGATGATTTAATGCACCATCATTATATTGCATGCCAACAGCTCCCCTTACAGTACAGAATTTTAATTGTTCCTGAAAGTATAATTATGTGCTATAACATGTTTGTTGGGAATTTTTCCACAGTAGAAAACAATAGCTTTTGAAGGATTTTCACAATTAACTCTGACTTCCTTCTATCTTACATTTTTTCACCCAGAAGTAGGACCAATTCAGAGCTAAAATGGACTATTTCCCCATACATTGTTTAAATGCCCTTCAGATGTTTGCAGAATTGTAATTCACACAATGTGTTTCTTTTGAGAGAATGGCAAAGATAAATCTAACATAATAGAATCATTTAAATTTAAAAAATACCTTCAATGGACAGAGTTAGTTGTGAAGATTAATTCTTTCATTATTTAGTTGAGTTTGTTAACAGCAATTTGAAAATAACTTATTTAGTTGGATTTGTTGATATAGTCTTAAATTTGTTTTATCAGTACATGGAATGTACAGATAGAAAATAAAGCTTATATATGTGTGTGTGTGTGTGTGTGTGTGTGTGTGTGTAATTCAATCATGGATATTAAGTAAGAGTTTGTGATATATTAACACTGTGATTGGTATATTATATCTTGTATTGTGAATATTCTTGTATTGTGAATATTTTCTTTGATCCAAGAAGCTTTTTCAGCTCTAACTGGATGATGGGGAATGGCAGGATTTATACTCCTTGAAAACAGCTGGTCATTTGCATTCTTTTAGCAAGTTGTTGAAGCCCCTGGAGGCTTATCTATGTCATCAGGGTCAGCTGAGTAGTGCAAATGGTTGTGGAGCCTTATTGGAACTGTTGGAAGGACTGTTTTGTAGACTGGGGATAGATGATGTCGTATCCCTCTCCCTCTGTTGAGAGAGGGCTGTTCTGAATAGTTATCAGAGCTGGTATACATGTTCTTGCAAGGAAATGAAATTATAAATACTTTTGTCTTAATTTTTTACGTAAAAGTGACTTCTGTAGCAGCAATTTTATCATTAAAAGGGTCATAAATATGTTGCTGAAACATTTTCCTGCTTTGAAAGATATTAAAATTAATAAGAACATTATTACTTCACCACATCTAACAGTTTTTGAAATGTTAAGTATAAATCTAAAGATTCTTTTGAACTCCACCACTTTATTCCAAATTTGCTATTTCCAAATACAAATCCCAACTAACTGGAATTAATTTTAAAACTGTTATTTAATTACTTAAAAATTGGAAGTAAATATTATACCTCTATATTAGTAACACACTATAAAAGTGCTTTATTCCCACTTATTGTGTGATAGTAATGCTATTACAGTAATGTACATTAAAACAGGCAGCAACTTTGAAACAGATACTGTCTTCTGCTTCATTGAAGAGTTTCAGAATCAGATGGACAGACTTTGCAATCTTTTAGCCTTTTGAAGGCAAGGAATTGATCCTTTATCCAAACATACTGCTCAGCAATAAATGCAATAATATCAATTTATGTAGCTGCTTTTCTATAGTTATAAAGACTTCATTCTAGAATAGGATTAATTCAATCAAACAAAGAATACTTGAAACAGAATAGCAATTAAAACATGAAATTGAAATTGTGCATTAACAGATACTCATATTTATCTAAGCAAATTTGTTTTATTTAATGTCTGGAAGGAAGCCAGTCATGACAGATGTAAAATGGAAGTTTCGCAGCAGGAATCATATCTTTTTTGTGTTTAGCATTTCCTATTAAAACTAGTGCTGTGCAACAAAAATTCTTCTGCATTTGCTTTAACCACTTGCCTTTAATCTGATTAAGAAGAAATTGCTTTTTATAACTTTCTTACAAAAACAAAGTTGCAGGAATATTCTCATGAAATTCTTGTACTTACTTTGTTTTATAAACTGGCCAAAGAGAATATGTTGACAATCTTTCTTTCAATGTATAATCATCTTTCCAGCAGTCTTCAACTGCCTTAGTTTCCTATGATTCAATTAAATCCCAAAGGAGACATCTTGAGGAAACTCCTACAATGGGCCTTTTTCAAAACAGGAAATGTGAGTAGCAAGAAAGACTGCAAAGTGAAAAAATATCCATAGAAGAACTCTTGATCATCTCAGAATTATTAAGTAAATTCTAAAACAAAATGAAAGGAAATACATAAGCACCTCAAGAATGGAATAGGAAAATGGGAAAATTCTAGATGGAAGATAGCTTTTGGGAACTGGGAGGACCAGATTTCTGAACAGTAGTAATTAAAAGGCACATAGAGAGCCTTTTAATTACAACTTGTTTGGGTTGTTTTCTTTGTATTAGTAACTTGATAACTAACCCACCAGTATTTTGAGCTTATTTTTTGTTGTGACACATTCCAATTTTCCTATACACATATTAGTTTCCAGTATTCTCTTTGCTTCTTTCATATTGTTTTTGCACTTGATATTAGTGCTGCTAAATAGTAAACAGAATGTTGTCCTCCATTTTCAGTATGTTAAAAAAAACTGAATCTGATGGCAACATGATTTCAAATCCTATCTAAATATGACATTCAAATGTTAATTGGAGAAATAAATCTTGTTTATTTCATGAAGATGAAAATGTCAATGGAATAAGACTATCACAGTATAATGTCCTTCTGACACCTGATAAATGCCATGATAATGACAGTTATTGGGGAAAAAAATTAAAATATTCTCTCATTTATCAAAAACAGTTCATACGTTTGTTTCAATACAGGAACTTTATTTTATTAAACAAAGGTGATCTAAGAGTGAGGGCATAATCAATATTGCACAAGGGATCTTGTTGAGGGCAGCTATCGTACCATTTAGAGTTACTTAAGTTACCAAACGATGAATAAAGTTGGACATCCTAATTTCTTTGTCTCTATACAAACAAACATCATGACATTATTGCTGTGATTCTTTGAGATTAAGAAGAATTAATGTTGTCATCACTATTAATTTTGTTTGTTTGCTTTCAATTATGTACATTAAAGATAAAAGATTATATAGAGATGTTATAAACAACTTCTCACAATACATTATGTGGATTTCTTTTTACAGATGGAAAATCTTTAACATTAGATGAAATATGGAAAAGTGTGCATGAATGCTATATGGATCGCCTTTGGCAAGGACCATGGGATACAATTACGCAACAGGTTAGCTATTTCTGTTACTTGTATGGAATTATTTCTTTGAAGAATGAATTTTAGAGAAAGAAATATTGTTATTAGTCCATTTAGTAGGATCTACCATGAAATTCATGTATTTGTTTGAATAGAAATGTTAATAACTAGAAAATAATGTAAAGAGTTTTTAGATTGCTGTTTTTTAAGCATAGTACTTTTGCCAATCAATTGACTACAAATATGTATTTTCTAATTTTACTATTGAGTATAATAACAATACTTCAGTCATATCTGAAGCGGCCAATGATAATTTATCTTAGAAAATAATGAATCATAAGGAACTCCTACCTGATTTTGAAAAATAATATTGTAACAGAAGATTTTAGCTTTCCTCCATCCCAAAATGTGCAACTGTCCAGAGACCTTAGGCAACATATTCACGTAATAATCAACAACAGCAGTAATACATATGAAGTTTTGATTAATTTCTATTGTAGTTTATACATTTTACCACTGTACTACAGAAATAACCTGTTTAATAGACCCTATAAAGAGGGAGAGCTGTTCCGAGTTGCAGAGTAATAATCATGCCATTAGTTTGTATATAATTCATATATTGGAAAAGTAGCCTTTAATCTGCATGGTCATTTTTTCTTTAATGAGGTTGAGATATAAAAAAAACCTAATTTTGATATTTTCTCCCTCTTGTTTATATCTTTTCAAGAACAAAAATGAACAAAAAAAAAAAGATTCGCAAACTATAAAATTGAATGAGAATTTTTCAAAGAAGTACTAGATTATTAGATTAGTACTGCAAAAAAGGTGATTTTATATGAGTTTAGCATTTTAAAATAATGATGGAAATCAAATAATTAGTAAATGCAGTCAATATAAGAATATTTTAAAATAAACAGTTAATAAACTTTTTATGTAATCTGAGAAAGACTTAAACTAATTTTGATAGACCATTTGGAGAAAAAAGAAATTATCATTAATTCCCAAATGTCTCATGTACCACCTTAGGAGACTGCATTTTTTTCTAGCGCAGGATCCCACAAAAATAAAGTTTGAATTAAAAAAATGCTGAGAGGATGCTTTGGAATGGGCATGGACATGCTGTCAGCAGTTCCTAAATGCAAAACAAATAGTTTCCTGCGATTGTACAGTATTGTGTAAGTCTAGGAAAAGATGCCACTTCTTAAGAAAAATACCAGAAGGTATGGCACATACTCCCTGCTCCCCCTACATAGCATTTTTTGGCTTCAGATCCAAAGCTGTGCACATCCCTCATTTATTGCTTTCCACATTTTATATGCCAGATGCAGTTAGGTTGAAGCACAAGATGGTTCAAGGTGATTCAGTTATACTGATATGTGGGATTCAGCGGGCATATATCCATTACTTTGGCTGAAAGTATTTTGCATTCTGCATGGAACTAATAATTGAAGCAGGAATGCACATATAAGCAGTCTGATTGTACTGATTCAAATGATGTCTTAAATTTCTGTCAGATAATTCTGTCAAAAAATATTTCTAGGACATTCTGTTCACTTTTTTCTAGACACCAGTGCTTGAATAAACTACAGAAAACCCTAGTGGGTTTTGGTAGTTAAAGTTCTAAATCTAGAACCAGGTCTAAATATTAAGTATTTCAACTAGGAATATTTTGAGGAATAGCTGCCAATAGAACTATCTCCTGCTTTCAGTTATTTTTCACTCTGAGAATAGTGGCCTGAATATTCCAGTATTTCTGCAAACATCTCAAAGGGTACCTCAGTACCTAGTAATTAATATTAGACTAGAGGCAAGTTTTCAGTTATAATGTTTATGTTCAATATACAGAAAAGCATGTATATATTCATGTGAAGGTTATACATTGCAAAACAGACTTTCCCAATCTAGTATCCACCAGATGGGTTGACTACCAATTTCATAATTGCTTAACAGTATAGCCCACCGTGATATATTTTATATAGTTAATAGGTTAATGAAATATTGAACAAGGACAATGAATGGTCCAGTGGGAGAGCATACACTTATCATGTAGAAAGTTTCAGGTTTTCATTTTTGCCAAATTTAAAAAATCCTTTTTGGTAAGCTTCCTCAAAAGCATGTTACTGTGGGCTTATATCCCTAGTTAATGATTCTGGAAGCATTTCAGCATTACATCATTTTACTCATGTGTATAAATTTGCATCAAGCTGGACTATTTTTAACATTGATCCAGCTGATACTCTTTTTAGTATGTGGTTAAGAAGCTGAAAGGCATGCTTTTCTAGTAGTATAAAAGTGCTATCCATTACATCATTTAATTTATGGTGGTGTTGAGCAAAAAATCAATAAATTATTTCTAAAATGTCAAGGATGTTCATAATACTCTTTTTTAAGGAAGCAAATTCAAAATGGTTTCTGAAGCTTTGATGTAACAGTGCTAAGGCAATACAAAATGGATTCATGATTTGTGTATAGTGTACCTTAAGAGAAGGTTGTTATGATTTCTCATTAAATGCCTGATCAATTGTTATCAGCAGTTGCTATAGTGTGGGGCTTTTCAACCTTTTCACAGATTGTGCTACTTTTAGGACATGACAATATTTGAGTACCATCAGTGCTTAGCAAGGTGTCAAAAACTTGATGACTAAAAAACGGGGGGGGGCATTTTGGGTTTTACTGATTAGATTCATTTGTTGTTATAGAAATGGCTATTTTATAATATTATGGAAAAATAAAAAGTTGAGGTTTAATGTTAATGTTTCCTTCTACTGCAATAGAGGAAGTTGGAAGTCAATGCCTTTTCTTTTTCCCTTCTTCCCCTCACTTTTTTCCCTTTTCCCTTCCCACTCTGTCCTACTATTTGCTTTTGTATTTTTGTATTTTATTTTATAATCTAATAAAATGTTACAAACTGTAGAAAAAAAAGGAAAAAAGTACCAGTTTTAATTTCTTCAGTGGCAGCTCCTTTGCTGAATCACTTTCCCTTTGCACTGACAAACTATGATGCATTTATTCATATTTATTAATATGCATCACTACCTGCTGGCTGGTCAGCCCTTCTTCCTGTCTCCCTCTCCTTCCATAGTGTAGTAAGAATGCACCCCCTAGTCCCTTCACTGTACCCCTAAAGACACAGGAATCAAGCGCAAAGCAAGAAAGGCTCACAAAAGCCTTCCAGAATAAAGAAAAACTAACTCTGTTTTTTTCTTTAAGCTGCCTTAGGCGTGTCACAATTTGCAGTTGCAAAAAGCGATAACCTTAAATTAAGCCTGTTTACCTACAAAAAAAACTTGCTAAAAGCAATAGACAGACTCAGGATGAGGGGGTAAAACTAATTAAATTTGTTTAAAGGATTAAACCTATGGAAGTCAACACTTTGGACTCATTGCTAGCCTTTGTAAAACAGACTAAAATATTCCAATAACCAAAGCACACAAACCGAGCCTCTGAATTACAAAACACTGTAAAAACTCCTTATAGTAACCCAATCAAGCTGCCAGTTGATCCAGAACTAAATAAACCAACCTCCTTTCCGACATGCTCGTCTCCCAGCTTTTCATTTCATCAGCGCTGATTGCATTCTCCTGGTTGGAGAAAACGAACCAGGGGACCTTTTCTTCCAGCAACAGCTTCTTCTTCTTCCCTGTCTCTTTTTCCTCCCTGCCTGCTGAGCTCTCCTTCCACAGCTTCTTCTCCATCTCCTTCCCTGCCAAAACCACCTCCTTTTATATCCTTTCCTCTCTTCCTCCCCCCTTTTCTCTTCAGTTCACCTCCAGCTACAGAAGCACTACATCTGGAGCTCTGCAGTGTTCCTGGGGCTTCTGCTGAGCCCTGACAGTCCTACTGCCTCTCCCTCAGACTTGTGTCACTTCAGCTCATTCCCCTCCCTGCTACACTTTTCTAGGAGGGTTGCATACCACCTGCCATGTACCAAAGTACCACTGGTGATACGTGTACCACCAGTTGAAAAGCCCTGCTATAGTGCACTAGCTAGAACTTCTGTAAAATCATTTGTAGTATCAAAACTGAGGAATACAAACATATAAATATTCTGACTTTTTTAATTCATCTTTTTTATTTCCATGAACAAATTTGAAACTTAAATTTGGAGAGGCCATAAGTTCCAATATATCCCAAATCGGGTTGTTCTGTTGTACTAATTGAAGTTTTCTTCTATACAATCACTCCTGGAAATCAAAGAGTGGGTTTTTAAAATTCTTGGAGCCACAGATTTTCAAATATGTACTTCAAATATTTATGAAGCATTTGTATAAATGTAAGTCTGAGTCAGAGTCATTTTCATATATACTTCTATTACTGTTTCTGTTTTAAAGTTCTGGAAAAATAAGATGATAGACAAAAGCAACAAAATTCCAAAGTTCATTTTGACATGGGGCCTGCCATCATCCCAATTAAGGCTTTAAAACACCTTCAACTGAGCATTGGTGCCAAAAGTTTTTATTTCATTTGCTATTTGGGAGATTAAAAGACAAACTGGGAGCCATAAATCTTGTAATGTGGGCTTAAGTGGCAATAAATCTCGACTCTCCAGACACTTAACCATATTTAGGTATTGTTTATAATGGGAACTCATATGGGTAACAAGCTAGGTTAGTTGCTTTATTGCAGACAAGAATAAAACCAAATACCCAGAGATGTGCCACCTGCAGTACATAAAAATTGATATCTATTGTATATGTTGGTGTTCTAAGTTTAAATTCTAGGCCTTTATTTCATATTTTTCTGAGTCAAAGAAAATGAATGTGTTGACTTTGTGGCCTTCTGATTGAGAGGCACCTGCTCAGTTTTGCCATAATAGTTCTGTCTAGCATGGTAATTGCTGGCTCTGCCTTGGCAAATGCATTCCTTATACCGTAGGTGAATTTCAGGTGTGCTATTGCAATCCTTGACATACCATGAAAATTCTGATGATGCACGATAATTTTAAGCTATACCAACACATTGCTTATTGGGTGAATTAGATATGTACATGGAAAGCATGCTATGGTTTGCCTGGCCTGCTTTAAATAACCTGT